CTGAGTTGAAAATGATATTTGCAAACATGTGAACAGGTAATGAGCGTAAAAGCACTTGGAATAGCACTAAAGCTGACATTTTCAGGGACGAATCAGTTATTTTATCCTCAAACATGGGTATTCACCTTGGTCGTACTTACCTGTGTGATAACCCAGTTGAACTACTTAAACAAGGTATGTATTAGTTAATGTTCTTCAAGATACTCGATTTTTTGAATTTAGCGTAGGTAAGTAGATTTCTTCTTTGGTTACTAAACTAATTGCCTTTTTGGCTTTTTACTTGCAGGCTCTTGATACATTCAATACAGCTATAGTATCTCCGATATACTATGTAATGTTTACATCACTAACTATATTGGCCAGTGTAATCATGTTTAAGGTAACCTTCCGCCTCAGAATGTACATATCGTTGTATGTTGTTGCTTTGGTACATGAATCAAATCACTGCTTTATGTGCTTTGTGTTTTTGAACAGGATTGGGATCGGCAAAACGGTACTCAAATTGTCACAGAAATATGTGGATTTGTTACAATACTTTCAGGAACTTTTCTTCTCCATAGAACAAAGGACATGGTAGAGGGTGCGTTACTTTAGTTCATCTACGGCATTTCTTATGCATTTGTGTTATTTTTCCATCTTAGAAGATACATTTTCTGACGGGCAAGAACTTGAGTGTTTTCTCGTTGAATGAGGAAGAATTKTATGCGGATGTGAAAAGAAATCTCAAGTTATTTTATACTCTCTATCTCAGCTATGAGGAACAAGAGTATGCATTATATAGAGAGATAGACATATAGATGTGTGTAGACCCTCCTAGCTAGTCATTATTGATGATAGGATTGCCATTTGTCGAATTCATATTTGTATTTAGAGCCGGCTGGAGTTACTTAGAGTTTGTAACTGATTGTTATCGCTATTATTGCAGGTTCATCGGTAATATTACCATTGCGTATTAGCAAGCACAATAACGAGGACAGTTTTGAATCAGAAGGCATTCCACTTAGACGCCAAGAATCGCTCCGGTTACCTTAAAAGCTTTATTGCTTTGTTTTCTGGTCTACTGCGGTAACTGCAAGCCAGAGAGCATTGACCTTTTTTCCCTTATCTCGATCTACTATGAACATGGACCATGGTTCTTCTGTCTAACATATACAGATATGGTTCAAGAAAATCGAGGAAGGAGCAAAGGAGGACGAGATCTCAGATCAGATCATGTTCTCGGTAAATATGCTTCTGAGTTCAAACATACAGCATTAGCACACACCCACGCGTAAACCCTTTTGTGACCTTTAAGATTTTTGTATAAACAGAGATGGGTTTTGCTTAAATTGGTCTTACAAACTGAAAAAGGTTTCAATTCAAGATTTGCATCTTTGATTCTTGATTTTGTCAATTGGTTTGGTTTAAAACCCTTTGAAAAAAAAAACAGAAATGGAGACTTTAAAAGTTGAAAACTTGAAACACATGTTTAGTCAAATTGTTGAAGATATACAGTATTTTGATGATGAGGTTGAGTTATAACATTGATGATAATAGATAGAGACAACGTTTTATGTTTTCCTCAATCAATCAATCCGGTGGTAGATGAGATGTCAAAATTGAAACTGCGTTGTGTCCCTCTCATTTATACATTTTCATAACTTAATACTGTCATAAAATCTCAAGTTTTCACATTAAGCTAAAAATTGATCGAGTTAATCCGATTTTTTTTTTTTTTGTCAACAGCATACGACCAATTTGCATTACAAATAGAGGAATCCGTGTTTGCCTATCTAAAGGCTATTAAGTATACACTACCTAAAATGGAAAATTACAGTTGACTAATTGAACAATAAAATCGTTAATAAATATAGAAACCCACAAGAGACAAAAAGAGATTAAAGTTGTTGTCAAGATTAAAAAAAAAAAAAAACTCAATATATCTATAAAAAAAATCACGATAATTACAGATTAAGCCAAGAAACACCAAAAAAGAGAGAGAACTTGTTGTAGCAGTTGAACTAGAAAAGAAACAGAAAGAAAAAACAGAGCAACGAATCCAACATCACCAAACAAAACACAAACTCTGTGTCTCTTATCTCATTGATCCTCTCTTTCTTCTTCTTTCTTCTTTTTTTAAAAAATCTTAATTTTGGTTTCTACTTTTTAGTTTCTTGATCCCAAATGGCTTTGAACAGAGTATCCTCTGAAGAATTTAGCTTCCCATCACTCATTTCCTATGATTCTTCCGACCATTCCGTCCTCGATTCACCTCCGTTATGGAAACACTCGCCGGAGAATTTCCTCCGGGAAGATTACAACAGAGGTTTCTCAAGATTACTCATCGGAAAACACGATAATTACGATCAAACAAAGAGCTTCTCTTATGTAGAGACAAGAAGTCTTTATAAAACAGAGGAGAAAATGGATATGTTATGGGAAGATCTAAACGAAGAAGTAACAACGAGAAGCCAGAGTCTTAGGATCGAACAACACGGAGGAGAGAAGAAAGTGTCTGTGTTTTCCGACGAGAGCTCCGGCGTTGCGGTTGGGTGTGGGATGAAGTTAACGCCGC